ACCGCTTGCCTCCAGCCAATCTTTGCCTCGAAACGTTTTAATTTTCAAGTCAGGAAGCTTCAAAGCGAATAAACGTCCAAAAGTTACATATGCTCGACACCTTTTTGACTAAAAAGAGTTTGGAAACAACAATCAAAACGGTCGAATTTGGAAGAACAGTGTTCGACTATAAAATATGGCTTTGAAACGACCAAGGCGAAAACTAAATAAAAAACGCTGTCAATTCCCAAAAGGCATTACAGAAGATATCGTGTTAGTTTTCTAACTTCTTAAGAGGGTAACCACGCTACTTCCACAGTCTAAATATGTACCAAGTTAGGTGCATAAATTCATGCTCTTCAGAAATAAGATGTTCTTTTCTGAGAAACGTCCTAAACAGGAATGCATCATCACTCTTCTCTTCAATGATACTAATAATGAAGCCATGAGCAACGATTGCGAGGATCAAAGCCCCAATCTCATATTAATAGAATGTCTCCACAAATTCCTAAATGAAAAGGCATTCCAGAAGGCGAAAATTCTAAAAGAATCAAACTGAAGCAAAATTATCCCGAGACTCATCGCTTCTTATACTATCAAAGCTGTTCTTACGAAATCATCACTTTCCAAAAGTTCTTGTGTACTGGAGGCTAGTTCTGGATAAATTTGACAGAAGAAAAATGGCCACTTCTAACAACAGATTTTTTTGAAAATGAGTTTAAGCTGTGATAGTGTCTCGTGTATGAGATTACGCTTCCGTCAAAACATTGATATTATCCACGAAAGTAAAGTCACTTCAATCAATCTTTTTAGGAGCAAAACCAGAAATGGCCGACGAAATAAACAAAGCCAATGCTTGATTTTTTTAGGATTCTTCCTTGTCGATATTCAAAAAGTCTAACTTGTCGTCATGACCTCTTTTCTCAGCAAATCTGACACATATGAATGATCTTGGCATATTCCTTTCTCGCCATATGAATTATCAACTCCTAAAAATTCAAATGAGAATGGAAGGATTATGACTCAAGCCTCTTCAAAGATGAGCTCTGCAAAACTTGAGAACATACGGAAACACTCCAACAGACAGTACCGTTTTCACCGCCCAATCTACCAACTCTTTTACAGTAATTCTAACTCAATAGAACTTGTAAAGAAATACATAGGTAATTGTTCAGGTAAGGTGGACTTTTCAGTTTCTATCATAAACCATATCTCAATGCAGACGACTGCATATTGTCAAGTAAAATATAAAGAACCCTTCGGATACAACGTACTTGGTGTTTAAAAAATGGAACGGATTTATAGGAAGCGGAAGTATTCATTCTTTCTCCAACAATAAAATTTCTATTGAAGTCTTTAATACAATTTTCAATTTAGAAGATCATTTTCTCGGATCCTTTCTTTTTTCATTAGTCGACAATGACGATGGCAGCTGAGCCAGACAGAGTGGATAAATGGACGCACATTTGAAGTGTTCAGTATAGAGACTTAAGGATATCTTTGGCTAACCAAAAATTTCTAAAAAGAGAAGCAACAGCAAGTCTTGAGGAAACAGTTTNGGAAACAGTGTCCTTGGAATACAATTCTCTGCAATACAATTTGTTACAGCAGAGAAAACCCTCGAAGATATCTTNGTCTCCGATAGATAAATAAAAAACTGCTTNTCNAATAAGTTCTCCAAGCCTTGTCTTTTTGTAACTCAACTTTCCTAGAATTCGATCCAACATCTCTAATCGAACCCCAGATAGTAGGGATCGAAGTAGGAACCAGCGACAAGCCAACTGAGTAAGAGATATTAAACAAGAAGTGAAAATATCTGCCCAAAATAAGGACCGGTTGGCAAAGTCTCTTTCGCTCCGCAAGACGCGAATAGAATACTCTCTTGAAAAGACTTGAGCTCCCTTTTCCAAGCATTCTTGTCGCTTGCAGAGTTNCTCTCTTCTACTTGATCCGAATATGTGTCCGATATTGACGCAAGTTTGTCTCTTCTTTCNGCAAAATCNAGAAAGGTTGAAACTATCAAAACTGTATTNGAGCAATCGAAAACCAATGCGGATGAAGTTCCAAGCCAGCTTTCAAATGAGAGTTGCACAGAGTACGAAATTCTCGCTGAATAATGAAATATTATCAGTTAATCTCTGGAATCAACGAAAACTTGTTTCAATTGTTACCTCACCAGCTGGGGGTGGTTTTTGAACTTNATGGACGTTATAATGAAAGAGAATTCTTTCATCTTTTGCATCATTTCGAAGTTGCACGCACAGCTTATGTACGTCATCCAAAGTTGGTTCTGTAATAAGATGATATCGGACCCTGGGCTGCCATCTTTCATATTGACCTTGCAACGCAGCCAAACTGCTTCNAATGGTCCCTGTGATATTATTTTGGTGGATCTACCGAACATTATAGTGTGCACAAGA